ATTCCAGTTACTACACTTTTGCATTTGTTTTCTTTTTCCCTTTGAGTTCGACACGATGTGCGAAAAAAAAATAGATTTTAAATTCGTGAAAAATCTACGTGTATAAAAGTTTTCGTAAAATAAATAATAGAGGATAAAATAAAAATTTACGTCAGGCTCTCCTTGTAATGTGTAATAGGTGTCATAAATGAAATATCAAGGTTACCAATTAACTGTTAAGAATGCAGGGCTGATCCCTCTTCTCCTTTCGTTGTATGTGGTCTAACCTTAACCCATTATTAATATTTACCAAATAAATGTTATCGACCCATTGTGTTTACCCGTTCCAATCCGTCGGACTTTGTTGTTTTTCCGGTTTTCCCGTGTCCAACTGTTATACTGGATTGTTTTCCTCCTGAGAATTTTTCCTCGATGAATTTATGTTTCTTTATATCGATTATCGGTTTTTAATTGGAGTGGCAGTTTCACCAATGTCAGATTTCTTCCCTTCGACATTCTTTTGTGGTCGACTCCTCCCTTTTATTCTAGTGATGCGATTTGTGTATATAGGTGTGAGTTGTGATTCGTGTAGAGAGCTGTGTAGCAGTTCGTGGTATATAGCAGTGAGCTGTGATTCGTGTATGTAAGCAGTGAGCTGTGATTCGTGTATACAACTGTGAGCAGTGATTTGTTATACAGTGTGGTTTGGCAGTCATCACAGGTACTGTATTCTCGTTTTCCATACTTCCGCAGAACTAGCCGTCGTCTCGGAGGACTCACTATTAAACAGGGGTCCGAAAACATCAGGAGAGGTCGTCCCACACCGACCCGAACGTGTCCCTAACTCTTGCAGCCCGGTCGCACGAGGTTAGTCACCAGGACCTTCACGCTGGTCCTCTACTGTCCGGTTAACTGCAACCCGTTGGTGTGTCTAGTAAAAATGGGATTAGTGTGTGTGTCGACGTTTGTTAGGGTCTGTCCAATTGCTCGTCGTCTTGTCGCCGGCATTGTTGTGTATTTATAACAACAAATACTTAACATGAAAGAATAAACTAACCGTCAGTAGAGGACCAGGTGAAGGCCTCCTGTGACTAACCTCGTGCGGCCCAACAACTAATGTAACGTCTGCAACTATTTCGGATGTCCGATGAAGTTATATAGAGTGTGATTAAGTATTTCGTTCATCTGTAAAACTTCGAGGCCTTTGAAAACGTACCCCTCTAAAAGATATTGACCTGGAGCAACTTAAAATCAACTTATGGAGACAATATGGTAACCTTCATTTTCCGTTTCAAAGCTAAAAAACTCGCTGACAGTAGTTTACCGCCTTGTGACTTTTCACTATTTTACGACACGTCAGGTCGTGTTTCCATGTGGAACCCCCATATGATGCTTCGTCCTAAAAGCCGAAATCGCCGATTGAAGTCCCTTTGGAGTCCCAAAGGCCAGGATGCTTCGACCAAGAGAAAAATCGTCTCGATCTAGAGGTACCCACTGAATAGGACCTTGGATCAGACACGAGGCTCGTCCTATTACAGAGTCCTATTTCTCTAGTTAGACACGCCCTCAAAGAAGAAGAACAAACGAAATACCGCTTAGCGAAGTGAACCTCGTATATAGCCGGTGGATGACAACTAAATAAATTACATATTTGACGGCATAACAAAGTACAACTTGTCAACAACTGCATTCGACGTGGTAACTAAAATAAAAGTACTTAACTTTGGCAAAGTCCTATTTATATTTCCTATTTATATAATGTCAAACTCCAACTTTGGTAACACTTGTCGACTATTGTTGTCAAACGTCTCAAATGTCACCTAGTCAGTATAATGTCCTATTTCCTATGTCAAGGTTTGAGGCCAACGTCAAGTTTAGTCGGTTGACACACTTGCACTTTTTACTTATCTTATAAGTGGAGTGGCTAGAGTCTCCGTAGACTGATAATATTGTATATCGCAATTCCTTTCGAATGAATTTATAGACGGTGTCTGTATTCATTGGGCCTAGTCTCATTGAAATTCATGTCAGGCTCCGTATAGTGTACGTATTACATAAGATAAAGAGGGAATAGACTCAGTCGACTCGGCATAGACCGGCACCGTTGTAGAGTGTCACAGTGTATGACATACGTCTTCAATAATAAAATTCCGTTGTGTAATTCAACTCCCTTTGTGAACTCAGTTTACATTAATTTCAGTCTAGTGAGCACAGAATCTGCCCCGTCAACTATATTGGACCAATTTACATGCGTAGGTTGTGAAAAAAGAAAAATGGTCGACATAAATCTGGAAACCGTCCACCGTCGGATACATCAGAAATAGGACCTATTTTCACAAATTCAGTACCTACAAAATTTTCAAATTGAAGAAGTATAATCTGATTAATATGCAACTGAAAAGTAAGTCCTTCATACTGCCGACGCCGACAGTCATCGCCAAGAGGTACCAAACCCTAACCAGCTTACCCGAGCGTTTATCGTGGGGAAAGTACACTTGACCGCGCGTGGATTGATCTATCCTGTGCCGCGACCAACTCGCTTTGCTCAACTATCCGGTCGCACCATCCTGTGCAAATCGCTCTCGCCGAAACACAAACCTAATTCAAGTTGGCGTATTGAGTTTTTGTATAGCGTCCTATCCAACTTGATCTAAGCAAGTCATACCATATGGGGGTCGAATCCAACGTCCGATTCTCGAGTTGAGTCACTTTTCGTGACGACGACTGCTGTAGTCTCGAGTCACACGCCTCAAATTTCGCTAGTTGCAGTATAATGTCCTCTTTCCTTTATGTCCTTTTCGACCGGCGCAACGCCTTTCTGCCGGCCGTTTTTAGTGGCTGACACACTTGCACTTCGTAATTATCTAAAGTGGAGGAGAAGCTCGTCAGACTTGATAATATTGTAATCGCAAATTCTTTCGAATGAATGATATAGACGGTGTTGTATTCATTGGTCTAGGTCTCATTTGTACTGGCAGTCAGGCGGCCGGTATAGTGTAGGTATTACATAAGTAAAGGAATAGACTCAGTCCGACTCGGCATAGACCCGGCACGTGTTGGAGGTAACATATATTGACATACGTCCTTCATAATAAAATTATTTGTAATCACTCCTTTGTGAGCTCATTAATTAATTTCCAGTCTAGCACAGTAATCTGCCACTCACTATAGTATTTGGACAAATTACATGCGTAAGTTTGTGAAAAAGAAAATGGTCACATAAGTGGAACGTCCACGTCGAGTACACCGAAAATAGGCCTATTCATAAATTCAGTACCTACAAATTTTCAAATTGCAGAAGTACTACACGAAATTAATATAGCAACTGAAAAGTAAAGTCCTTCATACACACACGACCATAGCGCGGAGGGGAACAGGTACAAAGCAACTAACCAAACTACAAGTTTATGGTGGGGAAAGTACACTTGCGCGTGATAAATATGATCTATCCCTGTCCACAACCCACTAAAGGTGAACACATGGGACACAACTCTCAGGCTACTCACACCCATACAAAAGTTTACCCCACGACAACCACAACATACTATGTCACCACATACACCCGGGAAGATATCACAACGCATTAAACATAATCGACGTTACTTTTTGAACGTTTAAATCTTACAAATGGACATTTTCTACATCTTGCGTATAAGAAAGTTTCTCTTTCTTTCCCTCTTATATTGCAGTCCCTCAATCACTTTTTTTTAATTCAGTGCAAGAATTGAGCTGGAGCTTGTCTTGCCAGGAGTTTGTAAATCTGGGCTGAAATGGTGTCAGGGTGCTCATTGGTTAGCCTGCCCTGCAACGATATTTAGTTTTAATTTTGATCCTGGTGGACTGATCATATTGGGCTCTGAGACTGCTCATTTGACCTCAGTTCTGACTTGAGAGGGAATGTTTGGTCAAACACTTTGTGTTTTGTCTCATAGTGGCGTTTTTGCACTTTTAATGAGCGCCACGGTCTCTGAACAAATGAGACACACTGGCTCTGTGCTCCCAGTGGGCAGGATGAACATGAAAGAGTCCACTAAGGGTTAAGAGCTCTGTTCTCACTGTCCACTTTCCTCTTCTTGCAGAGCACCATGTGGAATTATGTGTCTCTCCCTGTCTGCCGCTAACACGCCTGTTCACTCTCCTCTCCGCTTCTCTCCCTGTATCGCTAATTATTCTCTTCACTCACTTTCCTTTCCGCTTCTCTCTGCCGCGCTTTCATCTCTTCTGTGTTTCTCTCCCTGTATCGCTCACTTGTCTCTTTCGCCCCTGTCGGCGGTTAAAATAGAATCACCCCATTAAAATTGAAATCCCCTATTAATGTATTGATTATAGGTCCGGGTCCGTATAGGTCGGCGTCTGGGTCCGGATCCGGTTCGCGGTCCACCTGTTGCTGACCCCTGCACTATAACAAACCTTATTGGCTCATCGGGCTGCTCTCATTGTGTTCAGCCGCTGTTACCTTCTCTGTTTGGTAATCTTCTTGTAATCTCTTTTCTTTTATTCTTTATGGGCCCAGCATCTCTTAAGAGTTTCACATGTAGTGTTGCTTCAAATCGTATTCACCTTCATGTGCGAATGAAAAGAAAATCTGATTTTGATTGGTCTGATTGATTGATGTCTGACACAGCTAATGGTAATAGCCCTCTCTTGCTTTCTAGACTAACTACATTTGTGTACCGACCATGAGCTAATCCAGTAGTGGGGGCATGGGGGGCGCCAGGATTTGTTTGCTGCAGGGTGAGGAGAAGGTTTTAAGCGGGAACACAGGAAATCTGTAAGCAGCAATATATCTGAGTACAAGCGTACAGTTTGAGCAGAAGCAGAGCAAATCTAAGTGCAAGCAGGCACTATTTGAGTGTGAGGATCGGGTTTGAGTGAAAGAAATCAATAAAGTATGCTCTCAAATTTAAATACCACGCTCTTGAATAAAGATAGGGAATAACCCCCATAATAACTGACATAACTATTAACTTGGACACGCTACAATATTATCATTAATATTTAAATTAAAACATTCCTTTGACACTTATAACATTACTTTGCAAGGTAAGCACAACCAAAATAAGTTTGTAAAAGCAGAATTTGAACACTGTTTCTGTGCTCCTACAATATTTTAATACCATTACACCCTAAGCGTACAAGTACACAATAGCGATCGTTCACTTTCAACTGGCATGCTGTGGCATTTAACCTCATCACCACACCGCACGCACACGCACGCACGCACGCACGCACGCACGCACACACACACACACACACACGTGTATAAATATATATAGATACATTTTCATAAAAAAACAATGGGCTTGCTAAGCCGTTGCTAGGCCAATTGTTGGAGTTGCTACAGCAACTCCAAGCTACCCCCTGGCGCCGCCCCTGAGTGGGGGGCATGTGGGACAGTGCCCAATACATATTAAACCTTGTGCCCTGTCTTCAAATATGAATTATCTCAAACATTTACAGATAAGAAGCTATAATTTCAGATATATATATATATATATAAGTACAGGTATCTATTCTGTTTTTGTGTTCATGTGATTGATTGATTAACTTATGTGCACAATTGAACTATCATATAACATTTTTTGAGTGCCATTGGACTAAAGAGATATCATTGGAAAGCTAAGAAACGGCCTAAAAATGTTGTAAAAGAATCAACATGTGTTCCAGTGTAATTATGACTGACTGTAAAGGAGCAAGCCACATACACTTTTAGGGTTATCACGATTTTGATTGGTCTAAAATT